ATTGATATACTTATATCTTAACGAGTTATCCTTTACTTTTTAGGGTCAGGGCGTAGTTGACTAATAATTTGATAAAAATTATCTGCCCAGCAACAGCAGGAAAACTTCGCCCAGATAAGGTTTGAACAGCTAAACAACCTCATAAAGGCAAACACTTATTCCAATAAGAAGCATTCTCATGAAGGAAATTTCTCTAAAGGCTATTCCATTCATAAAGAATGCTCGGAAATTCCGCGGATGATTCCTTGACGATCCGAACTTGATTTGAATAGTAGATATCAGAAATGGTAATTTTTTTATTTTAAAAAAAATTTAATAAATTCTCTTTAGGCAGATTCCGTTCTTCACTGTATTATTCAAAAATCCATTTGGATAAATATGTAAAGTAAAATTTATCAACTCTTGATAAATAAAACTTCACGTTTATTAATGATGCTTTGGTTGATAGTGATAATGATGGTAAATGCAGTTGGAATTTTGTTATAAAATTTATAAAATGGTATTATCAGAAACAAAATAACATCATTATAATTTCTGTAATTATCCTAAGAAATCATTCAAGCAAATAACGAATACCCAGCTTACCGAAGACGTGAAATTAGAGATGGAAATTGATAAGACAAAAATGGGTTGTACTGCATATTGAATAGGACTCGTGGTAGGATCTCAATGCAATTTTAATAATTTGGCAACCAATAAATGTAAATCTTTAACATTGCTTCTGCAAGTTGCGCCATAATTCCAACTACATAGTTTGTTATGATTACAAAATTTGGATTCGATTAAGTATTATTAAGATTTAATTCTTTGAAGAATTTAATTTTATCAGCATGCGACTTTAAAATATTTATTATTGTCATATTACTATGCATTTAATTAAACAAAGATTAATAAGCAAATTTGGTATTGGAACCGGTTAATTTCAACGGAAATTTATCCTTACAAATAATTTCTTTCAATGCACTTATGTAAAATATATACACTTTCGATATATTCACTGTCATTGCAATTATAATTGGGGTTTAAAAGGTTATATTTTGGCTTTTATAAAGAATGAGTAATTTACTTTAAAGACTTTTTTTCCACAAAGAAAGTCTAAATAATCCCTTAATTATTTTTAACTGCGGTTAATCGGGTAATTGTTTAATCGGTTTAACCAAATATTTACCAGTATTAATTAGCCCGATTGGCGGTTAACCAAACTTGGTTAACCAGTTAAAAATTTATCACTAAGCAAGATCTTGACGGAATTACAAATTCAATAAAAAAATAAAAAAGAAATTTCTAGTAGCAAGACTAATTTTGCACAACCCGTATGACACTACCACCGTTTAACGCAAATTAGAAATCGATAGTAAGTATAACCGATCGAATTCCTGGATTTATAACTATTCCCAAATTTATAATATCTATACGGAATTAATTTTATGATAAATATTATAACCGAAATGATTATTCATGATAAAAACTATTTCGAAAACTTTTTTTTTTTGATAAGTTATGATGACTAATTTCACTTTCGAGTACTGCCAGTAATATAAATCATACATATAAATAATGAATTTATTTGTATAATTATAATATCTTTTGATTTAATCAATACCTTTTATATGCTTCGCATTCTTAATTTTTATTGTATAAATTTTAACCTCTTTTGATACCGTGCATTGAAGTTTATCAGCTAATAATAATATTTAATTTGGCGTAAATCATTTCGATGTGTGACAAATCTATAAATAATCAGATCTAATACGCTTAAGAAATAAAAAGAGATACTATAAAAAGAATTTATTATAATGTAGATCAGTTCTTTGTTTAGAAAAGTGTCTAGCCCAGTTGACGATCGGCCAAAATTATTTGGACAATTTTCATAATGCATTAAGAACGATCCTTTCCTTTAATATAATTAACGTTGATGTGCAATCTGTGTTATTAACTGGACTTATTGTCGAAAAATAACTGGACTTGAAAAAGTGGCCGATACAATTTGCAATAGAAAGGGGAAACTGCCGAAAATAAAAATAAAAATTTATTTTTATATGCCAAATATGATTTTCAGGCCGAGAATTAACATTAACTCATTTTTATTTTTCTCGGCAGTTTTCCCCCTTTCTATTATGTTTTACCCAAAAGATTCTGATAAATTAGACATTATTTATTTTCAAATGACCGAAACCAAATTTTGATAATTTTTGATATATTTATGCACTTTTTAAATTTTGCTATTGTTGAATTTCACGTAGCTAGCACCATACAATAAAAATTATGGACATTAATTGACTTTGCGAAATAATATGTAAACTGCGCTCATGATAATTTATTTAAAAATTACATAATGTATAATATAAGGGAATTGAATAAATTATCAAAGCAACCAAGTTTTTGACATATCATAATTCGTTCGATATATATATATATATATATTTTCAAAGAGATCTAATATCACGAGATAGCTGTTCAACAATAAAATTGTGGTTTATGCTTGAAATCTTAATTTCGAATTGATATCAAGTCGAACATTCTTAATTTCATGTGTGAATAAAAAATCCAAATCGAATTCAAGAAATATAGATACGGTCATTGAATTGGGCCGGTGATACCATTTTATTTGAAACAATTTATAAAATAGAAGATTTATAACATTAATAATAGATGGGAAACAGGATTAAATTGCCGAGGCACTCTTCGTTTCCGCGAAGACTTCTTAAACGTGTATAAGATTTTTGGCAAAACTGTCTTCAGTCCGGAATGTCGAATGATGAAGGGTTAATGAAATGATATGCTGCGGTCAATTACAAAATAAGGTTCAACCGGTACTACCTGAGAGTGACTAATAATGATCAAATGACATCATCGTTGATCATTGAATTGATTTTCCTTGAAAAACGAATTCCGTGTGTAATTAATTATACTACGCAAAATGTGCAAAAATTGCTTACCATAGAAAACTTCAGAATAATGTCTATGCGTTCTGATCAAAATAATAATTATTCAGAAACACGTAAATGAAAGATAAACATCCTGAAAAATATCATAACAATAACAATCATAACGAATCGTGAATGCATTTAGGAATTGCAAATTATTAATTGTTTACTCGAGGGACAATTTAAAAGACAACGAATGTTACATGTATATTTACATTTAACGCTCAAAGATTATCAAGGGATATCGAAATAGTTTCACAAACATTACTTTCGCGAAATTGGTTATATTTAAGTAATGCACGCGTATTTAAGTTTCGGAACTTGGGGAGAAATTTCATGCTCATCAGGTTTGATATGGTAAGAAATGTGCTCATTTAGTAATATCCTTTGATTAAAACTGAAAATACAAGTAACTGTACAATCGTTTGATATTGTTCCACTACCATTCTATTCCAACTAACTATGGGAAACGTAACAAACATTGTCAATTTATTGGTTCAAAATATTACCAGAAACGATCAAGAACAGGATTCTGACAAAGAATTGAGTCATCAGGTTTCACATTATGCATTTACGCGAATTCGTGATAATCTATATGGAAAAGGTGGTCCGATAGAACGTGATATTTAAGATGCTAAGAAGGATTATCTTTGTTTCGTTCTTTGTGAATTGGATAAAGATTCAAAGCCTTTTCACCTTATCAAGAACCTTAGTTAGACAATAACGCCTACTCATGCATCCCTTAAAGTAAATTCAAAATAACCTTCAACAAAAAATTTTTTTTTTGGAAATTGTAAATATAAATAATTACATTGCCATAATCTTATTTTCCACTATCGTCTATTTATTTATAGTATTTATTTATTCGGAATACGATATTGTGCTAAAATTTATTTATCGCGTATTATTATTATTAATATAAATATTCTTTTATTCATCCACAAGTAAAAAAAAAAAAACAGAAGTGGCGCGGAATTACAAGCCGATTATGAAATAAAAATAACTCCGTATATTTTTAAATAAATAAAAAAAAAAAATACCTTTTTTAACATTTTTAAAACACGGAAATAAGCAGAAACGCATATAGCCACATATTAAGATTTTTTATGGTGGCTATCGACAAATCCCTGTGGCAACATTCTGGAATTCAAAAAAAAAAGATCATCATTTTCCGATAACTTGAAACTATGCTGTGTGACGACCAAAGGGATTGTCGTAAAATAAAGTTTTATTTTACAGTTTAAAAAAAAAAAAAAAAAAAAAAAAAAAAAAACGGTATTCATTATGATCTAGCTAAGCCACTGCCATTTTTGGAATGGAAATGTTTCGACAAAAAGTACGATCAAAGTCTATTTTCTCAATTCAACGTTCAAAAAAGATGAGATTACGATTGACGAACCTTTGTACCTTTCCACTCGGAGAACATTCATGTATTTTTCCATTCCAACAAGATTTTACAACGGTATGTAATAACGTTCTTTACAGATGATGAAATCACCAATAACGATAAAGAATGTTAATTTTTGATATTGTTTTCTCACTAATTCATATCTTAATTGGGAAATAAATAAGATTATATAATATATTTTATTTTGAGCGTCTAATATAAAGCCACTGTGACTTAAAATGATTAATATTGTGCCACACAAGTTAATTATAGTTCTCGCATATTAGGTTTTAAAATTATCCAAATTATCCATTTTTTGTGTAGCTCGTCGGAGTTATGAAATCGACGTCATTCTTCCAATGTTTCTACTGTGTACCATACTGTGGTGTTCGGATATTTTCTTGGTGACACCAAATCACGAGCCTTACTGCGACGCCATTGTTTCACAAACCAGATACTCGCCACTGTTTTTATATAAAAGGGGTACAAGTTTACCAAGTTTCAAAAATATAACATAAAACGAAAAAAAAATTTCTCAAGGCTTTTTTTTTTCTATTCTCTTTTTTTTTTTTTCCAAAAAAAAAAAAATAATCCATCTTTCGTAACCTTTCACTCTTGACCCGTTCACAAAATCGAGAGCCTCTCATCATTATTTTTATACCTAGTAAAAATAAAAAAAAAAAATCATGAGCCAAGAAAAACGTACAATCAAAGTCTTTTCTGATAACGAACTTAGTTGCAGTGATAGGCATGCACAATCTAATATGAATGCTGCCATAAAGAAGATAAGGAAGCCCGCAAAGAAGAGAGGAAGAATCAATGTTAATGCTTGTCATCGCTGTAGACGAGATAAGAAGAAATGCGACGGAAATTACTCCACAAAGGAACCTTGTAGGTACTGTCGTCACCATAAGACGGAATGTACTTATCCTGAACCAGGAAGGAAGAGAGTAAAGATCATTCAACCTAACGTTGAAGATGAGAAAGTCAAAGAGACAAAAAAGATGAAGAAGGAGGATATCAGAAAAAGCTCAATGAATGAATTGTACGAACGCATGATTAAAGTTGAAGAAAATTTAGTTGACATGACTGAACTTCTGGTTAACGTTCGTCAGTCAACTCCGGATATTTCAGAAATTATACAACAACTTTTCTTTCGTCTCTTGGCAAAAGAATCTACCACAAATGAACAAACGATAATTTTACGTAGATTATGGTCGTTAATCACAAAAATAATGAACTATCCCACATTCAATGAAGAATTTGGTCATGCATTTTATAATAGATTACAATTACTTGAAAGTGATCAGGAAGAAATTAGATCGTTAATGTGGAAAGAGGTTCAAAATTATGTTAACGGGTGCGAAGACACGGGCAGCGCCCGTGAAAGTGAATCATTATTAACAACACCAACCTTTGTTTCTCCATACGCTGTACCACATCAATCACAACCCACCTCACCCATTCCACCTGAATTTGATAACAATGATGATCTTTTTGCAGACTTGTCGTTTGATTATTCTACTTTAAATGTTACAGACGATCCTTTTATCGCACCAATTGTGCCTTCTCAACCTAGTCCAATTTTACAGGCTAAATTTTTAAATAACCATCAAAATTTAGAACAAAAAGATTACCAAGAATGTGGAAATCTTTTGCTTTCACCATCAATATTCTCAAATGAAGACATTTGGCCAGAAACTACTGATATCATTGATAATACATTTAGCGAAAATAATTATCTCATCTCACCAAATTTGCTACCATATATCGATTCGTCCCCATTTTCAACGAATTCGTCTCATAATAACACACCAAACATTGAAAAGGAAATGGGATATTTTCAACAATTAACGAGTGAAGAAACAAATTTCCTACATTTCCAGTCAACGATGACATCACCTTCGTTTTCGAATGAATCACCTCATGAAATCGAATTTCATTTTAACCAACTTTGAATCCTTTATGAGGACCAAAGTTTTGTATATAAGAATAGACTCTACCGCTAAAAAATTTTTGTTGCATTGGCACGTGACCGATGCTGCATATATACATAGTTATTAATTTATTAATAGGGGGACCAACATTATTTATTAAGACTTTGGATAAGTATATATAAATTTATAAAATTTAAATCTACCCCTTATTTAATAATAAAATCTTAAATTGTTATATATCCTGTATTTATTTTTGTTGTATGCGAATATGAAAAAATGTTTGTCATTTGTTTATGTTAATTCGTTAATATTTTTATGTATAAATAACACGCACATGCGAACACTACATATTTTTTTTTAAGTAAAATGAGATTATACATATGAACCATGTTATGAAATAAGATATATATTCAGAGTATTTTTTTTTTTTTTTGATTTGGCACAAAAAAAAATAAATAATTATTCCGATTGCTTTAAGATTTAAGATTATATCAACATTTTGGAATGCAGCATAATTTGTTACATGAAGGTTTTTCTTTGTCTTTTATTTCTGACGTTAAATGAGGCAAAGATTTTTCCGAATGACAACGCGCACTTGTAAAAAGCATTAATATTTTTTTTTTTTTTTTTTTTTTTTTTTTTTTAGCAAAGGGGGTATAAAACTGGATTTTGCACGCTTCTGATTATTTTTAAATTATTTCCATCAGTGTAGAAAAATATCGACATTTTTGGATATTGTCATGACTAATCTTTGATAAACAAAAAAAAATAAAAATAAAAATCATCGTGCAAATCAATTTTTCATTAGAAGATCAAAGTTTTAGGGGAATAACCGATGATTACGAGTACGAACTTACCTTTTTTGATTTGTTTAACTTTGTTCCTTGCACACAAAGGAAACATAAAATCATTAAATAAACGGGAATTTTGATAACACGGAGGATATTAAAGGATATCTTACTAATAACAACGAATTTACTTTTTTGGTAAGAACGTACTGTTTATACTCCTTTTCATTCCTTTAAAATACAATAATATTTATCTTATAAATAAATTGAAATTTTATTAAATATAAACAAAAACAAAACAAAAAAAAAAAAATCTCAAATGTAATGCAAGAAAAATTGATCAAAACATTTCATTTACATTAATCGTCAAACATGTACTGTATGTCCGTAAATTGTACATTTTAATCATCGTCGACCACAGAACTTCTGGCAAGTAACAAACTTGACCTTAACATTGAACAAAATGATCACGTGATTTTGATTGCCACGGTGATTAAATGGTGACACGAGATTTATTAAAAATTTACGAGGTGGCTCATATCTGAAACAAGGCACAAAGCAAACAAATAATAATGTGTTGTGTCATGTGGCTCATCCCTTGTTACGGATTAGTCCGTTGAAACTTTGAGGTTTAAAAAGAACGAAAAAGCTCCCATATGCTTTTTATGCCAAATAAGTTTAATGGCTTGGAAAATCCCAAAGAAAAGAGTTTTTAACGATAATTTTCTATCATTATTCTCGATTTATATAGTAAGGAGTGAAACGCCTAGTACCAATAAAACTCAAAGGCTTATGCATCATTGTTAGGATTAACTGCATTAACTGCACCTATTTTTAGAATGTTAAACCTTTTGTTATTGTTGATCTGGAATGAATGATGATTTCTTGAAAACCACCTTTTCTGGTGATTAACACATTGTGCTACAAAACGTCAAATATCCAAAGTTCCATATATTGCATAATGCACAAAATCTTTCTAGATTTATCATTTCTTCTTTAAGGTTATTCTCTGCAATTTTCAAAAAAAAAATGCACTGAAAATAATCCTGTTCTGATTCAATATATGGTGATGATCACCTTTATACAACAACGAATCAAAACGGTTCATCTTTGTTAATACGATTACTGTCCTTGTGTAATTAAAAAAAAAGTTTTTGTAAAAGGCGAAAAAAAAAGCCAAAAATCGCTTATTTTCATGAGTTACACACTTATGATTATGAAAGATTAACCAATTTAGTTAGAGAAATCATGCAGATTTCGCCTCATCTTTGCGGCGAAAAAGGAAGCATTAATCGGAAAACTTCGTGAGTCTCAAGTATGATTTGTTAAAAATGAGCGCCCGTGGTAAAAAAGAGATATATTAATTTTTTTTTTTTTTATTTGTAGTAAAGTAAAAAAAAAATCTTTTATTGGATTGAATTGGATTGAATTGGATTGAATTATATTTTGAACAACTTTGTTCGATACTACGCTATTTGAGGGTAAACTGTTCTCACATGGCTGAGTCGTGACTGAACCAAATTCATAATTCTGGTTCAATAGGTAATATTTTTCATCAATCAATTTCCGGTGTAACGTATTATAAAATAATGTTATCCGACGAATCGTGATAACTCCTATTGTAAGACGCTTCATAAAAGTGGTCCATCACAAAATTTCTTAAATTATTTATCAATCATAAATATAAACATTCTTTATTTTATTTTTATTTTTATTTTATTTTTTTTAAAAAACTACAAAATTCATTTCAATAAAATTCTTTTAATATTTCATGTTGCGTACTAAAATACAAATTTAACTTTTTTCTAAAGCAAAATCTATTTGCTTTAGCAACTAATAAATCATCTAAAAATTGATTGATTTTGAAGAGGAATTGCAAGATCCACAAAATACAAAAAGGTAATGCAAGTAATTATTAATTTTATTAAAAAAAAAAAAGTTCTATGATTTAAAAAGCAAATCGTGTGGTAAAATGCCTTTGTACAAACCGTGAGGATCAAATCCAAGAATGATGATAATGATTAATGTTTCGTTCCTCAATAGCATTTGATACGTTTCCTGCATTAGAAGAAACCGTTGAATGTTACAACAAAATTTTTTCAGGAGAAAATCTTTTCAACTTCTAGATTTTAAATCATTTGGAACATTACCAATTATTTATTTAATTATCATTATGACGAATCGAGTGTTTCTACTCACAAAATAACCGCAGAGCCAATCACCAATTCAATCATGCAACATATAGATCACCGCATTAAATTGAATGATGAAGTTAATTAATTAATTGTTTTAAAATTAATTTTATCAATTAGATAGATGGATGGGTGATTTTCTTTTGATAATTTGTAATCATGCTTCTACCAATTGATCTCGCGATTGAATTCTTTTATGGTTGTTTTCAAAAAGCAAAAATATAGAATACTTTAATAAAACTATTATTATGTTGCAAAATTTTGTTCTTCAAAATCAGATTTTGGTATTATTTCTTGGAACTTATTATATACCTATTGGAACAATTCATTTATATGTAAAGATTGCTAGAAATCAGATTTTCATTTTGTATAATTTATTTAATTGAACGAATTCGAATGATTAATAAATCAAAGAAATAGTAGTTATATTAATTTAAGATTTTAATTTTTATTTAAATTCTATATAAATAAAAATTTAATTACAAATATCTTAATAACGGTTTTTTAGCTACAACAATTCCATTTTCAATTTAGCCTATTGTTTATTAAGCCAAGTTAAATAATTAAATGTTTATTTAAAAATAAATATAAAAAAATAGTTTAAAAATCTTCTTTATTTACTGGTACCACAATGCTATCAATAGCTATAAAATTTCTCTAAAACAAAAATTTACATAATGCAAAAATTTTTAAAAAAATGGCAATATTTCTGAAATTCAACAAACTAACCAATCACAATTATTAACCTTTTAAATATCACCAAATTAAAAAATTATAATTTTTATTATAATAAAATAAATAAAGTTTATATTGAAAGAAAAATATTCAGATTTGATATTAGTAAAATAAGTTTAGCAAAAATTGCGTAACTTAATTAAATAGTAGTTCTTCTACAAAAAGTCTCTTTCTTATTTAGAAAATAAAGATAATCATTTGTTTTAAACTTATAATCACTTATATTATAATTAGAAAAAAGTAGTTTTTTTGATAAAACTATAAATCAAATATTACTATTATATATTTCAAGATAAATTTTATTTAATTTATAAAGATATTCTTTTAAAATATATATTTAGACTAAAATAAAAAATCAGCATATATATATTTAGAAAAATCTTGATTATTACTTATATTGCTAAATTTATAATAATTATTTTTATAATAATACAAATAAATTATTAGATTTTTACAAATTTTTTAATAAATTAATAATCTGTATCACACTTTTTACATTTAAAAAATATTTAAATCATTTTAAAAAAAAAATTGAGAATATTAAGAATAATATTAGCATTAAAAAAATTTCAAATGAAATTTTTTATTATAATTTATGAAAAATGAAATAGTTTTAATAATTCTGTAATAATTAACTACTTTAAATTCAATTTAAACTTATATTAATATAAATAAAGAATAACTAAATATTATTTACTTAATAAAATTTATAACTATTAATTTTTATCTTATTTAAAATAATTTACTAAGTTTAAATATATAATTATATATATAAAATCAAAAACTATCTATCATTACTTTTACAAAAACTGTAAATGCACTAATTTTAACTTATTATAATTTACTAATTAAAAGACTTTAATTAATAATAATTTAATAATTTTATATAAAATAAAAAATTATTATATATTATTATTATTAATTATAATACTATTTAAGTAATTTATTATGAAAATCATATTATATATTATATAGTTTACTTTATTTATAAATTTATATTAATAACAAATAATTTTATAATAATTATATATATAATTACTTTGTAATTAATATTAATATTAATATTAAAATTATAATTATAATTATATTATACTAAAAGCAAATTTTTAAATTAATTTTTTAATTAATAATTAATATTAATCTATTTTAATATTTAAAAATATAAAATTTACTAAAATCTTAAATATTTTTAAATTTGAAATTTGATTAAATTTATTAAAATTTAAATAAAAATTTATTATAAATAAATAATTTAATAATTAATTATTAAAATATCAAAAACTTAAAATTATATAAAAATAGTTAA